CATCTTGCTGTGAACTTATAAGTATGATTTTAAAGATCCTGAAACAGGCGTACATACGATTGCTTTTTATTTAGCGGATGAAATAAGAAAAGTTTATCCGCCACGTAATCAAGATTCTGAAGAAGATTAGGTAAGTTAGTATTTTTAATTATTTGAGGATATTATTTTTATGCATTGTTCTAAATGCAAGGAGTAAATAAATTAATATGGTATTATTGGAAAATTGTTATTAGCAATGATTTAGTTTAAAGTAATAATTAGGATTGTAAGCTAATTTTTAATTAATTATTATTTATATTTAAGTAGTGTTTCTTAATTTAATTATATTTTAATTAATGAGTTTAATTAAATATGATAATGATTTAATTAGTTAATTGATAATGATTAATTAGTTTAATTAAAATTATTGATATTGATAATGCTAAATGATAGTTAATTAAGTTATTTGTGAATTCTATGTTTGTAGCAATTGGTATATGTTCCAGTGGAAGTAGTAACCGTGCATGGAAATAATTAATATTGACACTAAGTATTTGGAACCATTTTTATGTTTGCGGTATAAATTCGTTGGTGACGTTTATAATAGATAATTTAGAGGTAAAAGTTTTTGGATATTTTACTTATTTATAAGTGCAAATGTTATCCTTGGAAAGGGTATATACTTTTTTCGCGATCAGGTAATTTCATATAAGTCCTTTTTACCGAATTTAAAGACTCACAAAATTTTCATACATTTTCGTGAAATTTTTCTAATTTATGAGAAAAAAGCAGTGTACATGGATTTAGTAGAGTGTGCGCAATGCCATTTTTGTGCAATTCTGGGATTTTTTTTAAGTAAAAATAAGTCGACGTGTAGATGGTTGAATTATATTTTAATTAAATGATAGTTATTTTGTGAATTATATGTTTGTAGCAATTTGGTATATGTTTCAGTGGAAGTAATCGTACATGGAAATAATTTAAATATTTGGCACTAAGTATTTGTAACCATTTTTTAATGTTTGCGTTATAAATTCGTTGGTGACGTTTATAATAGATAATTTAGAGGTAAAAGTTTTTGGATATTTTATTATTTACATTATTATTATACATTATTTATATTATACATTGAAATGTTCATCCTTGGAAAGGGTATATACTTTTTCGCGATCAGGTAATTTCATATATGTGCTTTTTACCGAGTTTAAAGATTCACAAAATTTTCCTGCATTTTCGTGCAAATTTTTGTAATTTATGAGACAATAGCAGTGTAGATGGATAAAGTCAAGAGTGTGCGCAATGCCATTTTTGTGCAATTCTGGGATTTTTTTTTTAAGTAAAAATAAGTCGACGTGTACATGGTTAATGTGTATGTGCGATTCTGAAAAATGCGGCAAGAAGTTTGCGATTCTGCACTTTTTCCCAATTTTGCAGTTAATATTTGTCATAATTAAGCAGTTTTGTTCCATAAAATTTCTAGCATAAGTGTAATTTGGCTAGCAGATTGTTGGAAAAAGTGTTGAGTAAATAAAAAGAAAAGAAACATATGGCGGCGAAAAAAAAATAGAGGGTTGCTGTAGCAGAGTTTATCGCCAAATTTTCACCAAAAAATCGCCGAGTTACCATAATCCAAAGATTAACCAACATTTCTTTCAATGTAAGTTGTTTAAGTTGCTTCGTTTCATGTGATAATACTTTCTCTTTAATTCTATTAAACAGATATAATTTCTTGGTCAGTTACAAAGTTCCGCTGCTTAAGCCCCATAATTGCTGTGTCAAGAATACTGACTAATTTGTCAATCGAAATTTTTTCGTTTTCAATAACCTCTGTGTCACTTTCTTCACTGTCAGAAGCGAATTATAATGACGAGGAACTTGATTTAAATCATATCAGAGTACATTGAGATGAAATACTACATTTAGTAAGGAATTATAAGAAGAATAAAATAAAAACATCTGCCCTGAAGATAAGGATAGTGCTGACAGATCAACTTCCAATTCATTGCGCGCTGCATCGTTTCCCTTCCCCCGCAGAGCAGTGTGAAATTGATAAACATATTTCGGAATGATTAGAATCAAAGGATATGCCTTATCCCTTTTTGCAAGCAATTACACTTTCTGTTTATGGACTTCGAAATATACTTTCACTTTGTAGATCCTTACATATTAGTAAATATATATCGGAAATTCTATTTGACATAATCGAAAGTTCAAGTTTACTTTTATAAAATTGCTCTAACAGTCTGCAAAAATAATAAACCGGATCCAATTCAAAGATTAAGGAACAACGCAATCGCACATTAACTGAATTAGATATTTTAGCTTAGCTTATACCGTCCGTTATACATTAAATGCGCATGCGTAAACATAATATGTGCATGTGCAAATGTATTATGTGCATGGGTTTATGCATGTGCAGAAAGTTTGTAGCTTTGAGGTGCGGATTATAGTTCATTACGGATTATGGGTGTCCGAATTAACGACTTTTGACTGTATATAGGTTCTACCTTTATTTCATAAAATGAATCATAATTTAACTAAGATTAATTTTCAAAATTTCTTATATATGATTATTCTTCAATTTCAATTTTCCAACAACCTTTTTTTATGATCTAACTCTGTATTGAAAAAACTCTTTTACAAAAAGTTTTGCATATTTTAACTCTAAAATATATATAGATTTGAAATATGTAATAAAAACATGCAATTTCTGAGCCTATTTTGGTAAAAAAAATTATGCAGCAAGAGGGTTAATAACAAAATTTTAAACACTTAAGCAAAATAATAATTAACTGTATTTTACTCCGCTTAGTAAAAGAAGTGGAAATAGACTCTGAATATCAGATATCTAGAACAATACTTGTTCATCAACTATATAAATAAGCTAAAACCTATACTAATAAATAGAGAGCAATCAACGACAGCAGAATATTGAAATGGAATGCCAATAGCTAAAAACACACTACATAGATTAAAATAAATGTCGGTTGATCTTTACAATATGGTAACTGGTAGTTTGGCGACATTTTGGAGGCGATAAAGGTTACTACCTGGGACTTTGGTAATAATGTGAGCAGTACTCAGTTCCGATACGCATTATTTTGTGTGAGGGAATGAGAGATCATGGGATATGTCATGTGACATTAATGGACGAATTACGGTTCTTTAATCGGAAAGGGGGGAATCGGGAAAAATCTGGAAATTTTGTATTTGGTTTTCTGTGTGTGTGAAACAGTGTTCGTGAATTTTGGATCCCATGGCCGTAACTAAAGAAAAGTTTATCGGACACGTAATCAAGATTCTGAAGAAGATGAGGTAAGTTAGTATTTTTAATTATTTGAGGAATTATTTTTATGCATTGTTCAAAATGTAAGGTGGAAGTAAGGGAATTTGGTATTATTGGGAAAATTGTTATTAGCAATGATTGTTTTAAAGTATTAGGATTGTAAGGTAATTTTTATTATTAATGTATGTGCTCATTTATATTTTAAGTAGTGTTTTTTAATTTAATTATATTTTAATTAATGATAGTTATTTTGTGAATTTTATGTTTGTAGGAATTTGGTACGTTTCAGTTGAAGTAAACGTGCATGGAAATAATTTAAATATCTGACACAAGTATTTGTAATGCTTGTTGCGGTATGAATTCGTTGGTGACGTGTAATAATAATAGATGATTTAGAGGTAAAAGTTTTTGGATATTTTATTTTTATATGTGGAAATGTTCATATTTGGAAAGGGTAAATACTTTTTCGCGATCAGGTAATTTCATATATGTTCTTTTTACCGGGTTTAAAGGTTTAAGATTGAGAAAATTTGTCATGTATTTTTCGTGAATTTTTTTCTAATTTGATAAAAAAAAAGCAGTGTACATGGATATAGGAAGTGAAGAGTGTGCGCAATGCCCTTTTGTGCAATTCTGGGATGTTTTTTAAGTAAAAATAAGTCGAACGTGTACATGGTTTAGTGATATTTTAATTAAATGATAGTTATTTTGTGAATTTTATGTTTGTAGGAATTTGGTATAGGTTTAAGTTGAAGTAAACGTGCATGGAAATACTTAAATATTTGATACTAAGTATTTGTAATGCTTGCGGTATGAATTCGTTGGTGACCGTGTATAATGTAATAGATGATTTAGAGGTAAAAGTTTTTGGATATTTTATTTTTTTTATATGTGGAAATGTTCATATTTGGAAAGGGTAAATACTTTTTCGCGATCAGATAATTTCATATATGTTCTTTATACTGGGTTTAAAGATTGAGAAAATTGTCATGTATTTTCGTGAAATTTTTCTAATTTATGAGAAAAAAGCAGCGTACATGGATATAGTGAAGAGTGTGCGCAATGCCATTTTTGTGCAATTCTGGGATTTTTTTTTAAGTAAAAATAAGTCGACGTGTACATGGTTTATGTGTATGTGTTATTTTGAAAAACGCGTAAGGAGTATGGTATTGTGCACGTTTTCCCAATTTTGCAGTGAATATTTGTCATGATTAAGCAGTGTTGGATAAAATTTCTAGCATAAGTGTAATTCGGCTAGTAGATTGTTGGAAGAAGTGTGCAGTAGATAAAAAGAAAAGAAACATGTCTTTACTTCGTGAAGACAAAATGGCGGCGGGAAAAAAAAATAGAGGGTTGCTGTAGGAGAGTTGGTCGTCAAATTTTCGCCAAAAAAACGCCAAGTTACCATAATGTAAAGATCAACCTAAATGTCATTTACACTGTTGTGAAAACCATTTTATATAGTTTCAGAATTTACCCACAAGATAACTAATAAAGAAAAAACGATCAATCAATCAATGCAGTTATTTTTTTTGACAGCTATGCGAATTTTAAGCAATAACAGTACGTTTAGAATATACAATCAATTAAATGTCTTACTTCCAAAAAACACGCATATGTTATATTTTCATACTATTCCATGGAGTGTCAAGTTATGAAGTGTCCCTTGTTATGGAACTATGATTTTAAAATTATTTTAATATGATATTTAAAACATAAGTGAGTAGAAACGTACTTCAGCAACTTCATTTGCGTTCTTCTTCTTTTTCTTAGATTTTGCCTTGTTATCATTCGGTCCAGTTTTCACATTAGCTTTATTTTTACCTAACTGCCCAGCATTATTCACAGCAGATGATGCTGGTTTTTTATTTATGCTCTCAGATACGTCGTCATCTTCCAGTTTCAGTACCGAAAACCGAGAGGCACATGCTACAGCCATTATAAACAAAGTGACACGTCTACTCAGTTAACAATTAATAAACGTGAACACGTTAAAGTCAGAATGACTATGTGAATTTATTTGTTAAACTTCAAATAACGTAAAACAGAAAGTAATCTTTTATATCACCAAAACAAATCCAGTCAGTGCAAACCACATCAATGTTTACAAACGATTAACATGATTCCGATACAATTGTTAATCAATAACCTGAATGCCGATCGCTAAACACTTTTTATGCAATAAAATCCTGAAAATTGCAAAATGGAATGTAATTTAAATATCCATTATTCTTTTTTAATTTGAAAATAAATTTTGAAAATCCCAAATTGATGGTATATGAAAATGCATTGACTCATTTTTTTTTTTTTTTTTTACTTTTATTTTGCGGAATTTATAAAATACACGAGTGAATGAATTTATAAAATACATGAGTGAATGAATTTGCAAAATAAACGAGCGTTTCATTTGTGACAATGCTACAAAAATATATTTCTTTGAGTTTATGTTCGATGATTGAACTTCGTTACAAGTTAAACGTTGAAACCAGACCTTGGTTGAAGTGAAAAAAAAAAAAAAACACCCGTTAGTTGCGAATCTGTCTGATATCTGAGACCCGACGAAGGAGGCTTACCCGGATATTTACCAGCCTCAGGGCAAATACTCTCGACACACGAGTGCTATTGACGAATGAAGGGTTATTGTAATTGGCTATTTATCGCCGTACTGGTTATTTTTTGTTATCATACTTTTACGTATGTTGTAATTGCTATGTGAGGGAAGTTTTTACAAAATATTTACGACTCTTCTCTTTAGTGTTATAGTATAGTAGCAAGAACTTATAGATTATCATTATACATACGCGCATTAAAACTAATCAGTCTGCTCAAAAAATGCATTAGATATGTGATTTTACTCATGCATTATTTCTTCGTACATACACAAATAGAAATATATATTTCTGGCATATATGTATATAATATTTGGAGTGTGCAGTAGTTTTTAAAAATGCATGAAATTTTAATCAATTGAAAATCTGTGTTATATTTTATTATCTATTTAATGGAGAGATACTTATTACTTATTTATTACTGATTAATGGAGAGATACGTTTTATTATATTACGTTTTATTGTCAAGTGGAGTAATCTTTGAAATATTATAAAAACTGTATAATGGATTGTTTTTGCTAAGCAAGTTTTTTCCGAACATTACGCTCTGTTAACTCTTTGTTGAATATGTCCACTGTATTATGAAAAGAAAACCTGACATTGTATTAAAAACATATTTCCCTAAAAGATTTAAGGAAGGCAATTATTATTCATTTTCTCAAATATTTGTGTTTTTATATATTATGTAATGAATGTGGAATTTTTATGGATTGCAACCTTTGAAATCAATCAAAAATAAATATTTAGGTCAAAAGAATTGTGTATGTAAAAAAACTTGTCCACATATATATTTTTCATGTTAACAGAATTTGTTTTTTATATATAATGAACAATTATGTCAGAGTTCATCAATGCAGAGATTCCGTGTTGATTTCTACAATATTTGTCCTTACAATCGTAAAACTGCATATTTGCAAAAAGTATAGATATATTTTCTCTTGAAAATAAAAATAAGACTGTTAAGTAGTGTCTTAGATATCAATTGTTTTATCTTTATTTACAAATTAGGGCGTAATCGGCAGATTACTGAGAAAATTTAGATGACTGAAAACTAAAGAATTTTGAATGCAAGAATATTAGATAATTTTGGATACAGATTTTATTGCTTATTACTACATTTAACTACACTTGTTATTGCAGCTTATGTAAAATTTATTGTTTCTGGTTAAAAAGTTGTTCTTTTTTACATCTTTTCACTTTTATGAAGAAAGTTGGAAAGCGGAAGTATGGTGCAACATTTATTTTATATAATGCCTGCAGAAAAGTAGGACCAATTATGATGTAACAGGAAAAACAAGGAAACCAACAATTTTAAGGAAGTGTCTGCAGATATCAATCTTAACAGCTAGGTATATTATCCTAAACATTAGTCAAAGTGTAACAAATTTTTAACTTTTTGACCCTTGTGGGCACCTAAATTATAGACATCTTATAGATTCAAATAATGAGATATTAATAAGTGGTCTTCAACCTGTTTCCTATATCTTGCACAACCAGATATTTAACAACTCACTTTACATTTTCACTGCCATCTCCTTTACAGTTTCCAATGGACTCATTTTTTTACACCGAATATGCATGTATTTCTATCTACATAATCTATGTATTGATCATATGATTGTTTCTTTGATTGATGTTTTATTTCTTAAGAAATTGATATGATTTTAAAAAGGACAACATTTATATTATAAGAAATGATTTAATTAAGGTGACCCTTTTTTTTTACAATGAAAAGAGAGACAAAAAGCGAACAAATGCAGGACATTTGCGTCTTCACAAAAGTTTTTTAAAGCAGTCACACGAACCGTAAAACGACTAATATACAAATAAATTGTTGTTATTACTTCTACATCAATTGGCATGGCAGATGATGCCATGTTTTATTGCATTTGACAAAATATGTGTATTACAACCTATGCCTAGGTGTTTTCTTTTAGAGTAAATCTGGTAATTTTATCATAGACATTATTTACTCCTTTACATCTTCTCCCACCAAAATTTGTATTTGTATTATCTGCTGTTAGTGCAACAACTTTATATTTCAAATTGTTTTCATTTATTACTCTGTATAGATGGTTCACCAAAATTTCAACAGTTTCGCCCTCAATAGACTTTAAATTTAAAATTTTTATGTGAGTGCCCTTGTTAACATTATAATATCTTACTAGTATTGGATACAATTTTGTTTCATTATGATTCGATGCCTCAGATAAAACTGTTACAAATGCTGCATTTTTCAAGTCTTCTGCAAGTATATTGTCACAATTATTATACTCAGAGTATAATAATTATACAGTGAAAGGAAATTCGTATTTGCATCAGATGTAAATGCGAACTATAATATTATAGACACATTAAAATAAAACAAGTAAGTGCGCAAAAGTGTGAGGGTGCGAGACAAGTGTGGCTGCGTGATGTTTTGATATGCCCAGAATGTGCTGTCTGTGCATTTTATAATCATGTTTTTTCGAACTGCACCATCACATGACGATTGACGTGTAACATTTCGAAGCAGCATCTTTAACTAATACAGAGATAAACAGATTAGTTGTAAAATATTGAAAAGGAAGACAGTTGGGAGGACACTTCTTGAGGAAGGACAGAGCCTACCAAAGGAGGACAATTGGTCACCTTAATTTAATGCATGGTGGTTCACATGTCACATTCTTTTCATTGTTACATCCTGGGGCATAGCTAGAGGGGAGTGAGGGAGGACATCTGTCCCCTGGGTGCAGCATCCAGGGGGAGCCAAACTGATGTTACGAAATTTTAGAATTAAATATTTTCCGTTCTTAGCAAACAAAAGGGGGTGCGAAAACTTCAGCTGGGCGCTGAAAACCTTACCTATGACTTTGGTTACATTATCAGCTTTAAGATTTTCCCCAGGCAGATTATTCTAATTCTCATACTGTCTTCTGGACTAGTTGTAGGACATTTTAGCTCTGTGTATTCCTAAGCATTCATGATTTCATTTGTGATAAAATTTTCATGGTGAATCATTTCCATAAGTTTCTTCAGAGTATCAGGTATGAGCCAACATTTCAGACTTTTATTAGTATCATCTGAAACACAAAGCACAGAAGCTAACCATACAGAGTAAATGCCAATGATGATTTAATAGCTGTCCTTTAAAAAAAGAAAAAGATTCTATATACTATCCTTTAATAAAGGTTTAGTTTTTCTATATAAATTCACCTTAGCTGCTTCATTACTTTTTACCATTTTGTCTTATTAAAGATTTTACAGCAGTGCTGTTCTTTTGCAAAGTGGAGATCTGTATTAAATTTATATTTTTTTAGATATGTACTGTTAAATATAATTTAGCAGAAATTCAATTATCCTTCATCCCTCTCAACATCAGTTTTTACTATTCACTTATATATTCTGATGGACAGAATGAAACCCCTAAAAGGCGAAAAATAAAAATAAGTAATAATAAAAAAAAGGATTTAAAATAAACCATATTGTGATAAATATGATTATTTTTGTCATTTTATTTATAATAAAGGAATAAAATACTGTTTTAAAAACAAAACAGTACTATGGAATAAAATTACATAGAAAAAAATTTCCATAAAAATGACAAATGGTCAAATCAATAGTCATGTTTTTTCTGAATATATAAACCTTCATATCCAGCATATAAAATTTTAATAGAAATTTCTATCCAGCAGTAAGAAATAGTATTGACCTAAAATGGCGAGGATGAGTCATGTTAAAGATGTTTGATATTTATTGTATTTTGTGTAACGATTGTAAGTTATATATTTCTTAAATGCAACTTATATCATAAGAGCTTGCTTTTGTTTGCATAAAGGCACAAATCCACATACTATTTGGAAACGTACATCCATTTTGATGTTTTCAATGAAAGCAAAATAACCAATCTGCAGTTTGAAAAATTAATCTGGCAATTTAATTATGATCTGTACATTACTTATAATAAGTATAACAAAAGTTAACATATAACATATGAAATTTTATTATTGTACAAAATCTTTGGTAAAACAATTTTGGAAACTTCTGAAAGTTAACAGTAATTCTGAGAACATAAAAAAGCTTTATTATTGGGCATTAATAATATGTAGTTATTTTCTTCTTGTTTGAGCAATCTAAAAGCTATTAAAAGAAACAGAAATTGAAAAATCATCAGGAATCATATATGGTCATCTTAGGGAGATTTCATTACATTTAATATAACTTATATAATGTTTTACTATTTATATATGTATATGTGCTATTTTATCACTGTGTGCTAACATAAGTTGTCAATAACAATTATTAAATGCAGTGGTTTGTGAAATGTGCAGAAGTTTTGATTTTACTGCTTACTTATTTATAATTATTGATCATTTTTAACAGTTACAGTGAAATCATTGGGGCAACCACTTCCTGAAAATGAGTAATGTTTCTAAGATCATAAATCAAACTTCACAGAATTCGTTTTTAAATATTAAACTTTAAATATCTCTATAAGATGATGGATTCCATGAAAGATAAGAGCCAT